TGTATCGGGGGCGTTGGTAGGCGAACTTTTGAGCTGTGACAGCTCTTCGGAGCGAGACCTTGGGGAAAAAATGTATTCACATGGCACACGCATCACCACCACCGAAACATGTTTCTTGCCATCAACGTGTTCCGGTCCCGCTCGGAGATGCAACCCTCGGCGCTTTTAGCTCTCCTGATTTCTTGGAATTTCGACCCGCTGGCGCCGCATCGGGGTCACTCCTGAAGACGCATACCGGACTGCGATTCCGGCGAATTCTCCCGTCAACCTTATAGCGAGGCGCAACGCTTATCGCTCCTGAAATTTAGCCTTCCACTGAACGGAGTATGCGTTCCGGGAAGCTCGACGGAGCGGACCTCCGATTCAGTCCTCTTTTATCTTCCTACAAAGCAACTTCATCTCGCGTCTCGAACAGCGTGTGCAAGGACGAAAGGCCGTGATTTGTCAGAACGAACAAGGACGATTCATCAAAGGTTCCGAATGGCGGTCCCCGTTCCTTTTCCATTTCCATCGGAGTCGACTCCGTTCAGAGAGAGCATTGATTCGCTGTTCTTTTATCAGCAGTTGTCGCACTGAGCAAATCTCATCACAATGATTGCTCGGCCCGGTGATTGGATGACCCGACCGTGCAGCCGATGAGTGTTCCGCGGGTTTGCCAAGCCGGGCGGGCGGGCGAGTCACCGGTGGCGACCGTAGGTGAATGAGTAGGTGGGCGGTGAGGGTGCCTCCCGTCCAGGAGACGGATACCGACTCAACTATAGACAGACTCACGCTCGTTCCCGAGCCGACCGGAGCACACGCCGCGGTACGATCAAGAAGTTCTAATGTCGCGCTTAATAAAACAACAGCTCAGTTACTGAAGAGGGGTGCGACTCTCTCGGTAATTAGAGTAATTTTTCCTAAAACCCCACCACACGCGCCGGTGATGAATTTATTTACGCTTTCTCATTCCTTCGCGACTCGTCATTTTTCCCGAAAGGAAAATCAAAGGATCGCTCCCCCCGATGTCCTTCATTCCAACCCCATTATCAACTCCGATTGGATGCTGAGAATGCTGCGTCGACTCTTCGCAAAATTCATTATCAGCCACGGACGTCTTGCGAGACCAGGCCTTCCGACACGATTCGGAGTTCGATTTCATTTGTCACGTGAGGCTGACTCGCGTTCTTCCGCTCGGCGCCCTCGCTAAATATCCGGTCGGGTTCAGTGTGCCGTCGAGTAGACTACGTACGACGAGCGTTTCATCTTCGTGTTCGGAAGCCTCCAACATCGCTCCTGCGAAAGCGAATCGATCATTATTGCGAGAAAGAGGATGTACTTTTTACGACTCGGCTGTTCAGATCACGACTTGGTGACCTTGTGACAAGGATCAACGGCAGCCGTTTTTTCCTTTCGGGAAGAGCACAGCGGTGGACGCATGCTGATTCGGCGACCTCTGAAGGCCCTCTCGATCGACGAATCAGATTCGCTCGGTGCACACGGGTGAGGTCGGATCGTGTTGGCGATGAACCAACAACATACAGATAGACACAAGCACGCACGCGAGCAAGTCAAAGTTTGCTTGGATCAACAGCAGCGAGGAAAAACAGTCAGCGATTTCCAAACGTAAACAATCGTTCGATTCGGATTCCAGAAGCTTCCCGGAGAACCACGACTAGCCGTCCTGCAAAAATGCATTTAACGAATCGAGCGTCCGATCCGTGTCCGACGGAATCCAGCGGGACGTTTCGATGTCGGCTTGTTTTACGAGTGTAGCCCTCCGTCTCTGAAGGATGGAGCCTGGAACCTTTTGCTGAATCAGCTGAGCAATCAAATTGAAACGATGTCTGCGATGTTGGGCATGCCGGCCTCGAGACTCTTAGTGTTTCGAGCGCCAGATATCCGCGAGCTCTGATCTTCGATACGACCCCCAAACACTCGCCAGCGAGATCGACATTCCCGCAGTCCTCAGAAACCAGGAGGAGAGGAGCTTTCTCGCCTGGAAGAAGACGACAAGTGTCGAGAAATCGCTACAGTGACTCTCTCGCAGAAGTACCCAGAGGGTCGTTCTTCTCAAGTTCCCCATCGGTCAGTGCGAAAACGAAACCCCGCAAGTGGGCGGCTCTAAAGGCGATCGGAACGATGCTTCCGCCATCTCAAGTGGGTACTGATGAAATGGTAGCAATTTCCCGCGAATTCTGCCGACGAAGCAGCGGAGGGAGTCGGTACTGTCGAGGCCGGACGAGGGCTCGACGCCGATCCTTCCGCTCGGTCAGGTGGGTCGGACTGAAACGAGAATGCAATCGCGACAATATGCTAAAGAGATGCACCGCTACTAACTGGAATATCAATCAGAATCAAGTGCCCTCGAGGAAATCTCTGCCCACGTAATGATCGCAACAAAACGCGACTTTCACCCAGCAGGCTGGAAGGTCTGTCCTGACAGGGCTTCTTCGTCGGAAGCGGGAGAATACTGAAAGAAATGAACGCTAATGACTCAGGAATGAAGCGCCAACCCACGCGAAATGAAGCTCGCTGCAGGAAATCGTGATCAGATTATGCCTTAATAACAACTCGCTGATGACGGAGCTTCTCGGCTCTTTGAACGGCTCAAACTATGTGAGGCTACAGCCCCGTCGGACTTGCCGATGATAATCGAAGCAGCGCGCTGAGTTTTTCGTAGATTTTTTTTGCGAAGTAGCAGCTTTCGGGTGGCGGAACGCTGCTCTCGATGATCAGTTTCCGCGCTTCGAGCCTTCAGATGCGCGGATTGATATAAATACTGCTACACTGAGAAAAAATAAGCCTCTGATTTGTTTTATGCAGAAAATCCAATATATTTTCGCGAACTCACATCGTCTCCGTATCTCCAGAGGAGGAACGAATCAAATAACCAACCATTCGATCCATGATTTAACAATAACTAATGTACAGGTGATAATCGTCAGATACTCTCCGATTCCTCCGACCCTGGATGGGTGTTTTTCGGGCGCTCTTAAGGAGGCCTAGATGAACCCGAGACATATCGCTCCATCGGGAGTTCGCCGTCCTTAGGTCGCTACTCTCCGCGACTGCTTCGCAGATCGAATGAGGGAGCGAGCGTGCGAGCGACCGAACGAACGAACTAGCGGGGAAGCGGATGATCGACTGACGTGACCGACCGTCGAAGAACTGATGATACCCTGACACCTGATGAGGAGACGGCAATGTACACAGGTCCTAAAAACGCGATGGCTTCATACGGAAAAGACATATTAGTATGTACTCCGTACGGTCGGAGACGCTTAGTGCCACTTCCGAATTAACCCTGCGACGTGACCTCGGTGAAGGCTTGGACGTTGACCATATTTTCTCATCAGCACACTCCAAGCTAATCACTGAGGAGTCGTCAGCAACTCAGTTCGGGAATTCGGAGTCTTCCTGGACTCGATGAACGCAGCTCGTAGTGAGAAGACTACGGTAACTTCTTGAGAACTCATTCCGCGCACGTTCTAGATGTCGTCGATAATTTCTCAGCCGGGGCTTCTTCCCCAGAGAGAACATGTGGGATTCCGTGACAGCGGGATGGATGATTCCGGATCGACGGGAAACAGGGGCTCATGTTTACGATAGGAATCTCTAATACTCTGACTAAATATTCACAGGGATGCTACTGGCTCGAGAGCTTGATCTCTCTCCTTCTGAGGTATGCAGGTGATTGATTAGGGACTCCGATCGCACGGAAGTTCGCGATGTCGTAATTCTCGATTTTTGCGACACTTGATGCATCACATACGGTGTAGGAGTCCGGGAGGTTGAGCTTCTGCCTCTCTCAAACCGAATGGAAAATACTTTGCTCGACCCGAGTATTCAATCGGTGGAGACCTCTTGGCTACATAGCCTGATTGTGGGTCAGTCGTGGCAGAGTGTTCGATTTGTTCCCATTCCGTGTGCTTGAATCGAGTCCCAAGTGCTTGTCCACAGCTTGAGCAAGGATCGGTGTCGTCCGCCACTCGACCAACGCTGCTTCGGACTCGACTACGCACATCGCAGTCTAGTGGGTAACTTTCGAGGTGGCTGCCAGGACCAGAGAAGACCCGAGGCGTCTACGTCGCTCGCCATCGACTTGTAGTAGCCCATAGAGCGTCGTTCGTTTGCCTCGGCTCCGAATGTCAATGCTGTTGTTGAGAATGATTGAGGATAATGCCAACATCGAGCGCCCTATCGGCGCCCATGCCCGGCAGCGAGAAGACCAGATTCTGTCCGTTGCTCATCGATAACACGTGCCTGTCGTCCATCGAACTCGAACTCATCACCGTCAACGGTACGGAGTTACTGGAATACACGTGAACGATTATTATTGGGCCCATGTCCCGGGAACTTCCCATGCGCGTAAATTCTCCAGTCGTCGGTTCGAAGAAATCGATACCTACCCAAGCATTCCATCAATTGTCAGCTGAGTTTGGCCTTGGCCCAAAGTCGGCAGCCCTGGACTGCAGTGGTTTATGCTCATGGCTTGGGCAGTACAATGCTCAAAGTTGGTCATTCTCGTGAGATCGGGCGGCATTTGTAGCTCTCCAGCGACGTTCTCCTTGATGTCCGTTTTTTCCAAACTCAGTCCCACCACCTGTCGAGAGGGAATTCTTGATACGCGACAAAGCTCGAGAGAACCATTCTCTGTTAGTGCTCGCGGTCGATATTTGAGATGTCGTCGCTCGGAAGTTTGTACTTTAAGCGGTGGATGTGCTCATCTAGAAAAGTCTTTCGCTTTCTTATCCGCTCGTGATCAGGGGAGAGGCGTGAAATGTCGCTAGATATTTTTCGGACTTTACAGCAGCCCATCGGTTTCTTCCGTCGACGCATGGAATAAAACATACCCCGGGCACGGAGCCGAAATTCCACGTCTGTGAGTGCGAAAGACGAGAATTGCGTCGTTGTGGAGAAGGCGGTCGCTGATGATTAGATCGCCAGATGTCCCCTCCGGTCTCGTGCCCACCATTTCTCTCGAAAACACCACAGCGGTGGAAAACAATTCGTTGGATTCATACCTGGGGGGCGTTCATGACTTCCGACATCGTCAGCTGATGCAAATGCTGATGTTCATGACACTCGTGCATCTCATGAGTCTGGTGGTGACCACAGAGAGTGGTGCTATGAGAATGGCACAACGATTCCATTTGCGCGATTTCTCGCGATTTCTTGTTCTCCTGTACCGGGCACTTATTGCGGAATGAGCTGCGGACTCCTTCTTCGGACTCGACCGCTTGCTTTGTAGGGTCGTTCGCCTTCGACCGTACTCCGTTCTTCTGCAATAGCTTGACGGTCTTGTCCCGTTGGTAATATACAGCTGCGAAGATCAACGCGTTCAGGACGAGCAACGAACAGCCGACGGCCACCGTGACGCCTAATGCGGAAGCGTACGGCATGCCTTGCCGGACCAGTAGCGAATCGAATCCGAATCCAGATCTTGTAGGAGTCGTATCCTGTGGAACGAGACTACCGTGAGCTAACTTCGAGCCTCGTCCCAAAGTAGTCAAATTCATTATATTCCTGCTCGCGTTCGCCTCGGATTTCCTTTGGGAAATACCCTGATGTACAGAATCCGGTAGCGAAATCCCTAGGAAATTATATCGATCGATCAAGCTGAGGCAAATTAGAGCAGAGAGAGTATTCGATTGGTCGCTGACAGCTCATATGATATAACAGCTCATGTTCCATTCTGCGACGAGAGTATGATTGAATAAGTCTACATATGTATATAGAAATTAACGAGAATGTCGATGTTGCCCCGTTTGAGGTTGTGAATCCGCTCCGGGACAGAGCCCGCCTAGCATCCCAGCTTGATTGCGCTTTCGATACGGCAATGTATACCGAATAACCCAAGACGGAACTTCAAGTTCGGTATTGATTGATGACCCTACATCAGGTTCCAGATCAGGGAGCCCCCGAGCTCGACCAGCTCGAGCGAGGACGCTCCTCACGAGGAACATGCGTTTAAAAACGAATGCTTCGAGAGGCTTCCTCGAGTTGAGGAGTTCTTCGAAGAGTTACTAACTTTTGCATTGTGAACCGCATCGTGATGATGACGTATAGCGCCCTCAGACTGGTGTTGGAGGTGTGGATGCATTACGCTATGCGTTTCGTCGTCGGAGAGTTGGTGGTGAAGCGTGTCTACCTCCGGACCTCCAGGCCTGTTGATAAGGGAAATATCTTGACATGTGTGATTCGCCGGAGCAGTCCCGCTCGCCGACGGGCCATCCGGGCGCACTCTCGAGGAAAGACCCTCAAACAGAAAAGTATTCAGTTGCTAGCGGCGTAAGACTTCTCATCGAGCCTCACCTATGTAGCAGAGGGATGAGGTTCGTCCACAGGGCGAGTCTGTGAGCGTGGTAATGATCGTCCACCTCGAGTTTGCCGCCCAGAACGAGATGCTTCTGATGCGAAAGCTCGTACTTGGGCCAAAAAGACTCCTGACTCTCGTCAAGAGCTATGTTTTGAGTATTTGAAGGGAACTCTGTCGGTTCACTAGATACGAGCGCTGGAGTCCTGTTGAAAAATGTTGTGAGGTACAAGCAATGGCTCAGCGTCGGGAATCTCACGGAATTCTTGTTTGAAGTCCTCCCTCGTAGTAGATCCCCCGTCGCTCTGATTCTCTTCCCGAACCCGGAAGGAACGAGGCTCGGGCATGGGAGTTGCCTCCAAGTAAGAGGAAGAAAGAGAGCACAACATCCAGTGAGAAGATATACGAACCCTGATTTTACGAACTGCGTCCAATACTCAATGAAGGTTTGTGCGAGTGTTTGATCAGCTAAAGTATAGTTGCCTACGAAAGGGCCCAGCTGTGATTCCACCAGCGGCGCCCCGAAAATGTACACAAGATCGTTCTCGTGGAGGACAGCGTTCGAGTGGTCGTTGTATTCTTGCTGATGCTCCGAGACGTACATGAACGTGCTCTTTCCTCCCAGTTTCGCGTGTAGTCTGGCCGTTTTGACAAGCGGCGCGACCACGAGAGCATCCCCCAAAGCTTCAGCGGTTTCTGGAACGATTTACAATGAGTTCGGCTACAAACAGCGGCTTGGTCAAAACGATCGATTCTGCTTGGCAGGCGTCGCTAGATCCTCACCTCGTGCTATCCTGCTCGGCTTGGGGGCAGTCGAAACCGTCCAGTCCGTGTACTCGTTCAAGACGGTCACGAAAATTTCTTGTCTGTGGTAGCTGTAGAGGTTTCGGACAAGGTTTCGGAAGTGTTTCTTCCTCTGATCACCGTCGATACCGTACACCTCTTCAAGATGGGAGAAATAGTGTCCGCCCTGGATGCGAGAAAAACGCCTCAGACAAGAATTTGAGAGTCTTGATTCGGATGTAATCTCCAGATCCCCACCGCCACGGAGTTGTTCCCGCTTGTGGTTGTTGGAGAGTTCTGCGTCATGGATGGATAAGTACAGCATCGCGGAGTCGAAGCTCCTCGTCAAACTCTGCTCGCCGAAGCAGATTGAGCTCCGGGAATTTTCACCCGATCCCTCTGATCGGGCTTTTTCGAGTGGCGAATATCCACTCCTGCCTCCAATTTTTTTCCGGGGAGGGAGCCAAGAGCTCGAAGTAAAAATATTGTTTGGATCGCGACCGGATGATTGGCGCCGCCACCTTTCCGATTCCTGATTGCGGGCCGTCAAAACACACGTTAGCGGCGACGTCTCATTAGGTATGCGTTTGAGCGGTGAGCTTTTATTCGCTCCATTGCTCAAGAATATCAGAACAGTCCTCAAACAAGTGACTATCGTTACCCCACTCGTTTGAGGGTCGCTGTTTCTCAACTTCTTTCCGCTTCACGGAATATTCGTAGAACCTCGCAGCTTCGGTTTCGATTCGAAACGGACTGAAATCCATCCTGGGGCTGCGAGGAATCCTTATCGTATCGCCTCTACGGCGAACTGTACGGTGCCATGAAGCCAGCTCTCCAGCAGTCGATAAGCAGTCGATACCAGAATGATTCTGATTTTAATTATGAGCCAATCCAGCGGAGGAGCCTGCTGGATGACGCTCGAATTCACGTTCGTGAAGAGTTGTTTCATCACCATGAGTGAACTGAAGCGCTGAGTTTTTCCGTCTTCCTCGAGATATTCTCTGATTCGCTATCATCCCTCTGTTTCCAGCTCAGTCAGATGTCTGATTCCGACCGAAACTTGATCCGGAATTGAGTCGGGTTACCTCGGCTTGATAACAAGGCCTTTGAGGGGAACAACATGCATAGCCGGTTTCGATCTTGATAGATAAAATGTCCGAACAGTCGAGTTGACTCATTTATTCCGCTTCCCTCAAAGTGGGTGTCGACGACTTCGTAGGGGTATCGGACTCGGACCCTAATTTATTCGGGTCCAAATGCCCACGGAGTGCGATGTTCTGCGTAAGCGTCATCTACAGTAGCATTGATGAGTCAGCCCCGGCACGCAATCCGGATGCAATGATCAGTCCATCAGCGCCCCTAAGTCGGACGCACGCTCAAGAAGGTGGTCATGAGTTGACTCGCTGATTGTTTCAGCAAATCGACATAATGGCTTCGTCTCCCGAAAAAGGACTTTGATCAGGGACCTCGAATCTTGGCTCGGTTGGCGATGGCCTCGTTGACGGTCGCGAGATACGCTGGGGAGCTGCTCTGGGGCCGACGGCGCTTACTTGATAACGGGGATAACCGGAGTACTTGGACTGAGGAAACGCAGAGGAGGGTTCTGGCAAGTCGACGAGGTTCTATGATGCAGAATATCTTTGTGAATCATGTCTGGGGTCCTCAATCATTGCTTCTCTGAACATCTCCTCGCTGCAAACATGTGAAGGGCCTCCGGAGTTCAAGCAGCAAGCATCCCGATCCAAACCCGGGCTCCTCCCTGACCGCGAGGAGTCATTTCCGGCGACCTTCAAAACGGAGAGGCGCCCTTGACAAGTGATTCCATCCATATAGAATCCCATCAACCGTCAATCAAGGTATTGCCACTGGAAATGCCTTACGACGATTGTCCGCCGACTTCGCGGCCGCTGTTGTATCCCGATACGGAGACTTGACGGTCTCTACGGCGAGGTCCGAGTCCTCAGGGATCTCGGTCCTTGATACAGAATCAATTCAAAGCCCGGACTTGGCATCGATCAGGGTCGGGCTGAGCTCCACGGCATCCCAGGTCTCAGGTTGTCAAAGCGCGAACCCGGAGTCATCCTCGGAGAAAGAGGCGCAAGGAACATCTATCCTAGATCAGGTGGGATCATGTAGTTCTCGCTCACTGCGCACGTCGATAGCGCTCTGAAAACATCGCTAGAGACGAGCGATGGGATCTCCGGCCACCGAAACACACCAGCGACACGAGGACAACGCCGACATCTTCGAAAAATCCCCATAGCGGTTTGGAATCCAACAATTAGTGGTGGCACGTTTGTTTCCCGCACGCGTATACGATCACGCTTTTCCCGATGAGTGAGGCGATGATGGTGCATGTTTCCGCAGCTATCTTTGAATTTCGCGCCTGGGACTAATACCATTCATGTTCCTTGGAGGCGGAACGCGAATGTTACCATGACCAACAGCTGTTCATAATGTTTTTTCGCCGACATCACCGATGTGAGGAAAATCCTCCACAGCGTATATATACATATGTACATATCCTGACAATAAGCCAGGGGACTCTGGAGGCTCCAAAATGTCACCGACGCGTCGATGAGGGCACACATGCTTATCGAGAAGATCCGCCGATATCACCCAGCAGATCAAGCTCCGCCCATTGTGTCGAACTGATTACACCCCTGGGAAACGATTGCTGCGGCCCCTGTGCATCGTCCAGCTCGAGAATGAAACTTTAGTATCTCTAATACCCGGAAGATACTCTTGAGTCGACTCATTAGACAGACCCGGTTACTCAACAATGACTGACTCCGGCCCCTCATCCTCGCATGCCGACTGCTGCTCTGGATGAACGCACGAGTAATTGGGGGCTGTGACCTCGCTTCGCGGGCCGCGTAAAAATACCTCGCACGCGCAAGAACGGGACAACACTAGCTATTTTCGGCTCCCCTGGGGAAGGCGAGGAAACCCCCGGGGAGAATTGCAAACGGAACCAGGATATCTTCACGCTCCAATCGAGACCAAAATCCGCATGTCACCAGTTCTGCCCAAACTGGGCATCTTCAGACAGTTCCTTGCGTGATTCCTGGAACGGGACGGGGACGAGCTGGGCGGGGGGAGAAATGAACACGTACCTCGTTGTCAGCCATGCCGACGAGAAGCTCGTATGTTTTGAAGAGAGCGTTCGGACCGTGTTCTTCCATAAGTAACGAAGGTTCTTTGGGTATAGCGATTCCATCGACAACAGGTCCGAATGTTGTCAGATATTCGCCTGCGGACAGGCCTACGGCAACGATGTCCTCAGCCGATCTTGAGAATTGCGGAAGAAAAACAATCCACTTGTCATGAACATATTCTACGTCCGGAATTCTTTCTCGTATGAAGCTATCGAATTTCGTTACTGTCCAAGACGTCGTCGTCAGATGCCTTCCCTCGGGCGGGCAAGCGAGCAACAGAACTCATGGGTACCCACCGGCTTTTAAGGCACTCGATAAGGGCTCGGTTGTCTTCGAGTGGACAATTCAGCTCAGTGGCGATAAGTTTCGTGTACTTAACGGAATCTCGGGCCATCGCCCATGGGCTTAGTGCCGAGCCGGACATCAGAATGGCTCTCTGTATCAGACCTGGAATTAAATCAACGTGTTCCTACGTCTTATCACGCGTGGGACCGTCCTGGGCGCTGTGTGAGCCTTCCCTCGCGCCGCGAGCTTCACCGTTCCGAGTATAATGATTGTTCCGTCAGAGGACTACTTGATGAATGTTATTTGTGTCTACATCCCGGTCGTAGATCTTTCTCTCGAACCGAGAGAAAGATCGAGATCTTTCTCGTGTCTTTCATGCGAGATGTCATGATTGCTGCTACATTGAAACGAAAGCCTTACCTCGTGCCATCGGGGTCAGCATGATCAGATTTGCGAGCGCCGCGCCTCGTCCATGGCCGAACACGGTCACGTTCCCGGGATCTCCTCCGAATTCAATGACGTTCTCTTGGACCCAGTGGAGAGCTGCGACTATGTCCAGCAGACCGTTGTTCGCGCCTCGACCTCCACTCTCCATGGGCGGCAAGAAGCCTGGAAATCACCGAAATCGCATTAGCTAGATGGGCCCCGACGCTAACACCTCCAGGTGTCCTCTGACAAGGACACGGAGTTTTTCAGTCGGAACACTTGTAAACATCTGATGTTTCCTCTACGACGCGCACGACGCGTAAATCTTCTTTGCTGCTGCTGCCAACGGCGCTGCTCTCAAGCCGTAGATTTTCGCAGGTCGGATGTCTCGAGGGTGTTTTTTGACTGAATACCCGACTCGTATATGTAGGGATTCTCGTTTGTGTCGTGTCGAGCGTCAAGTGGCTCCTGTTGCAGAGCTGCATGCTGTGTCATTCGAAACTTTTCGCGACCTCCTCAAAGATTTCGTATTTATCATCTAGACGGAAATGACTACCGACGGGACAGCCTCGACGGGCGGCGCAACCGCCGGATGGTCATCCGCGGAACGGGGCTCCTCATCTCGGATGAAGTCCCACGTCTCCGCGGCTTCATCGAGACGAGTCAGCCTCGCACGGAATCCCTCGCGGTATTGCATTGTTTGCTCCATAACCGCGGCGGTTGGCTGCGAGAGTTGGGATTCACTCTTCCCTTTGATGATCTCGCGAGCAAAAATCCGAATGGTAGAAGTTGTCTAATTGGTCCAGAGGCGGTGTTCCATTCATGGAGCTCTAGCCAATTTTTTGCTTCTTCCCCCGCGAATCCTAGAATGCGCGATTTGTTCCCAGCTCCGGTTGTGGCTGTTGCTCATGAGAGCACAGAGCACTTGAACGCCACAGTGAGTGGAAATAGCGCTAGAAGAGAACGTTGCCACCCGCGAATGGCTGCACATTATAACTCTCCGCTGATGAGACGTGGAGCAAATGGAAGCTGAAAGGTGTATGCCTGGCTGCGGATTCCCCCGCGGTCGAGATGAGGCCGCCGTCGGCGGGTCGGTTCGCTCGGTGGGTGGGTGGGTTGAGTACTCGGTGAGTCGTTACCGTAGCCGACATCTAGGGTAACTGAGCTATTCTCTCCAAATCGAGGATCCGGCTCTGCCGGCAGCGAAATATGATGAACGAAGGAGTTTGCGTGTGCCTTCGTACGGGAACTTACTTCCGTCACGGGAAAAAACTGAACCGGGTCGAATCAGGGAGCCCGGTGAATCAGATACCCGAACAGAGAACACGCAGCACAATTTGTCATTTTACCCTTCCCTTGATGAGACAGGAAGAAAACGGAACCGACCGCATATGCGAAGACATCGTTCCATGGAAATTGCGTCTCGTGTGCTATTTACAATGGGAGCGGTGGGAACAAAGAGAACAGACCAGGCTGAGATGGTCGCTCGATGAAGAGTCAACCCACACTTAGTCATCCACGGTGACGAACGACTTGTCTTTCGTGTGATGTCCTCGACCTCCGACCCGATCCGTAGAGAAGTTCCGCCATGCTCAGCTTCCCACAAGCGGGTTCGCTCTTGCTCCCGGAAATCCGCTCGAAGAGACAGATTCACTCCCAGCGTTTGATTATTTCGGAAGCGTGTGAGTATCCTTTTTTGGTCTATTGAAGAAAAGACAGAATGACACTCCGAACTCGCCGAAGGGCGAGAAGTTGCTTCGTCAGATAGAGACGTCACCGCGCGACGTCGACCGGAATAACAAGCGGGACTCCGAGACGGCTCGAAGAACGCCCCGTGAGATCAACTACCTGGCAGAGAAGACAACTAAAAGCCTGTGCTCCTCACTGATCCATAAGATACTCGCTGTTACTTAGCCACGGTGCTCAGGCCCCGCATGAGGAATCCGGAGCCTCCTCTGCCTCCCGGAGCGTGACCCGATAACCGTTCATTGATGGCTACAGCGAACTATCCTCATTCTCGGGAACTTTCCTGCGGGGTCTTCCGTTTGTAATGAACGTAGATTCGAAATTCCGTTTCGCAGAGGAATCTAACTCGAAGACAGCTTCTCGTTCGACTCACGCAATCCCTCTGCCCCATAAATCCTGAACCTCCTGCTCTCCTCGGGCACTCACTGAGTCAGCAGTGAAGTTCCTGTGGCGAAGAGGGAAACAAAGAGGGAGATTGGAGCTCATCGGCAATAATTTTTGACGTCGTCGAAGAAGCTGCGGGAGCCCGAGATTTTCCCCCCGAAGATCCTGGAGCTCTATGGTTTTTTTTACGTGGAGAGACTTCCCTCTCCGGGACCTCATTCTACGGAAACGTCTCCTTCCACAACAGTGAGTCCTGACGGGGAATTTCAATGACGGAGAAAGCGCATCGAAGATTCGCGAAAGCGACAAGATAACATGTCAATGTATGGTTTCATTTATCTCGGACACTTCCTTAGTTGGGACTTTCTCCCGGCTGAATTAATCATTCTCTGTCATCAGTGCCGCTAATATAATTCGCTTGGGAACCTCGTTTCGCGGTTGGGGAACGACCCGACACACTCCATAGTTTCGGACTATACTTGCAGCCGTCGAGTAAATAAACTCAAAATTCTGTCCTCTACGAGCTTGGAGATTGAGTTTCCAGGATGGACGCAGGCGCTGCTCGTACATCGTACGCTTATTCAGCCGGGTATCTGCTTTCAATATTGTTCAGAAAGTGATCAAATTTTACGGAGCTGGGTTGGACCCGGCTTGAACAGTAGTTTTCGCGAGTCGTCGACGACGCTTCGAATCTCTACGAGTACTCATGCGTGCGTCCGCTCACTCCGCACTCAGTGAATGTGCATGTAGGAGTTTTCCTTTACGGAGGACGTAGGAGGCAGGCAAGGGCAGGTCTCGGTGCTCTGTTCGTGTGGCGCTGTTCTCCAGCTTCACTCCTCGCTTCTATCTGTGGTTCCCGAGCGCGACCGGGGCTCGATCGTACAGCCGAAATCACAATAACGAGATCCCGTTGCTCGCCTTTCGCAAAGTGGATCAATGGCCTAAGGCCAAATAACGCTTCGTCTGCGAAGACATCCGTGTTCGTAGGTTTTTGTTTCTTCGCTTGAATGTGCTGTTTGTCTGACTTCGTTCACTCGCAAATGCGCAGAGCCCAAAACCTGGTGGAACCGCAAAGTTGTCGCAATCCACCTTTCCATCGGCTTCCACAAACAACACTGCGCGCCTCCAGTACCAAATCAAACTCCTGTGGGAAACATTTACAACCGCGCTGTCAAGCGGGCTACCGAACGACGGGCTGACGGTCGAAGGGAAATAATGATGTCGGTGCGACGTTTGAAGTGGGTCGAATCTTTCGTTTCTAACTGAACGAACCTAGAATTCCGAGACGGTAATTCAGAGTGACGACGATAACCTCTCCATAGGAAGCAAGGACGCTCCCGTCGTACGCGTTGCCGGAGTTCCATTCGAAGGACTCTCCGTGAATGAAGACCATTACGGGGAGACGATTTTTTGTGGCGATGTTTCCTTTCCGATCCCCTGGAACAGAGAGAATTTTTAGAAATCAATGGGCTCCCACAACAGCTTCCTAATGGCTGTCGTCAGATACTAGACTTATTCATTCCCTTATTCTGCGCAAAGTTTATGATGAAGAGTTGCCTGCTTTAGAGATTCTGTGTCCGTCCGAATGAATCGTCGATGAGCAGGGGGATCTCTCGCGGAAATGAGCCGTCGACGCTAAGCTATTGTACGAGCTCAGGTGAATCTCGAGGCTCGTTCCGTGTCTTGAGAGTCTCGCGGGGGTTATCCAGAAACTGCCGATCGACTCACGTTCATCAAACATTCGTACCGCCCGCTGCGGGTTTTCCGCTCGAGCGATGTGGGGAACGGGAGGGCAATGGAGAGAAGCCGAAACTGCAGCTTTGGCTTCCCGACAGCCGTTTCCCATTCTTCACTGCAAATCCTGAAGCTCAGGGGAGCGCCGTATTACACCTGTCTGGGCGCATGGATTCAACCCGCAGTCTGAGGCTACACACTCATCTCCCATTCGTCGCTTTTCTTCACTTTCGCTTGTCGTCAGTGATCATAAATCGCGGACGCGAGCGATCCTCTAATCGAAACAAGTAGCCTGAGAGAGCTATTCAGAGACGGGTATAATATAATGTGAATGACGCGCTATTGGTATACAGATTTTTCTCATTCTCGCCAGGGACATCCCGTTCAATTCGAGTCCATAAGCTTGTAGGAGAACCGCACAGCGGAGTGTTCTCCGGGGCTGCTCGGTCAATCAAGTTCGCTCCCCTCGAGCGCCTCACCTGCGGGGGTTTAATTACGGTGCAGTGGCACGCGCATTTCTGAAGACTGTTTTCGGTTCGCTTATTCGGACTCGTTCTCGAGAGGGGCGTACATGTTTACCACGACATTGCGAGGTAGCCCGCGGAGACCACGCACGTCTGGAAATCGTTTTCCTTGCATGGAACTCAGCACGAAACAAACGTGGGACTCTCTATATCGCTCAGTGGCTCAGTTAGCGGGAACTTGTGAGGCGGAGCGTGTATCTGTACGGAAGCTTTCCCGCTCACATACAATACGGTCTCCGACGCATGTAATGTCGGCCGGTACAAGAATCCTCAGCGTGATCGCCCCGCCGCAAGCCATCTGTGACCAAGGGTGGGCTCCCCTGGCGATCGATCGATTGCTCCCTAACCCTCTCAGCTGGCCACTCGGTGAGATTCCATGTATGGCTCAGCCGTTTTTTCCATTGTCGCTATCGTCGTCGACGTCTCCGTCGGGAGCTTGTCACTACTGTCTTAGGACGTTAACCATCATGTGGCCGGACTCGATCAGCCGATCATCGGCTGCCCGCACACTCGCACAATTTTTCTCGCCCGTCTGACACGTAACCGAGCACACACAATGCTCAGCCTCTGCGCGATGATCTTGCGGACTTTTTGCAGAAAGAGAAATCTTTTGTTATCTCCATTGGGGGAACGAAACGTTTTGTGCTGCACAAAACACAGCTCGTCTATGTGTCCAGAGCTGGAGCTTTTCTTCTGCTCTCCTTTTTCAGCGCTGTCTCGCTTGTCTTTTCCATCAGAAGCATCGTGATCATCATCAGCGTCAATGTCATCGCTTCCTGTTTTGGCTAAGTGATTACGACTCACGGTAGCGTAAGGAAGGACGGTTATTGGATTTGTCACCTTAATAGTTCGCTCGCGAAAGTGGCACCTCATGCTCGCTTTCCTGGAGCGGTTAGCAACTGTTTTCTTCATCAGGTTTCGGCTCCGAAGATGACGAAGCACCAACCACCCCCGGGCGCCAAGACGAACTTCGTCTTAGAAATGCAACCCGGCCAGGAATGGACTCATTAGTGTAATGACTCGGGGACCTTAGGAATAGTTTTCGCGGGAAACCGTCAACGACGTCGCCGGTGCCGTCCCGGGAGCTTGCCCTCGGCTATGAGGGTGTATATATGGAGTTGTGCGGTAAACAAACATCCGCCTTGGAGCCATTGAAAGGCTTGCTGCCGCGAAAATGGAGGAGGGTGCCAGGAGGACAACATACTACATTGCAGAACAATGACACTTCATGGCGGTTGTTGTGCACTTGCTTTGTTGTGCCGAACAGCGTCGAAGCGGAGCAGTTGTTCGAGAAAGTGAACTCCTCGATCAGACTGTGTCACAATGCCGGCTACTTAGCTCGCTGGGAGTTTTCCCCCGAAATTCTCCATCGAGCCCAATCTTGCCGACACCCTCGAGTTTTAAGTCGCTACGAGCAGCCGACGACCGTTCAGATACCTCGGAGCCGCAGTTTATCAGTTTCTGAATGAAGCGCCTTTTATTCAAGCAATGGTGCAAGATTTCGGCGCAGCTGTTTTGTGGGGTCGCATCTTTCGCGATGTTCGGAACCCCAGAGCATCTGGATCCCGGCATTTCCCTTGGTTCCCCTGTAGGGTCAGATATCGCGGAATCAGAAAAGATGGGAATCTATTCGGTACGATAGAAGGGAGAATGACTGGATGGGAGCTGGAAATGAAAACCAGGGGTGGGCGAGAGGGGGATCGACGGAGCGAACAGCTTGTCGAGCTCAGTCCGCGGAATTTGAATGTTCGAGGAGCAGACGGCGCTGGCAGAGAAGACACCGAACACGGTGGCAAAAAAGTCCAAGGAACGCTGGGAAAGTTTCTAAATATATTTAGGAAATTTGCTCCAACTGCTAGGGTGATTCGTTTAGGCGCTGCGGCCAGCCAGCTCGGAAGGTTGGCAGGCAGGCAGGCGGGCACACATACAGACAAGCGAGCGAACGAGCGTGCGCAGTCTTCGAACACCCGACAGAGACAGACAAGATCGACCGGTAGACGAACTTATTCGCCGAAACGTCGCCCCTTCCCGCAGACATTCAACGATTTCTTGAAGATTCGAGATCGTGCCCGAATTCTCTGCTCCCATTAGGGTTGCCAGCAATGCTAATGCCGTCTCGCAGATACGGGAATTTAATTTAATGACTCCACTGATTCGTCCTTTGAGGGAAACCGGTCGCTTCTCTCGATACAACTGCCAGTGGTCTTTCCTAGGCCATCCGCCTGCGGCAAGAGAGGGAATCCTCGCGGCCAGATATGCTACGCAGGAACGTCTGCCGAAACAGAATATCCTCGTCCACGGCTCCGGTAGTTTGGGGAGCGAATCTGAACCCTTGTGGAGGACCTTCGATGGTGGCATTCCTTTCGAGGACGATGACGTCGTCCCATCACGCACTCGAGGCAGAAAACCTCGAGTTGTTGTCACTCAATACCTCGTTAGCATCGAGTAAAATCGTGGTAATCGAGAACGCCATCAAGCACTACTGGGTCTTTCGTCGCGACAAATAGACGCCATAGGGAGGAGTAGTAAATCACATAGGTAGTTCGTGGGTGGGGAATCGAACAGTCATTTTTCAATATGCATACATTTGTACATATGCATGTATATGCATGCACGTTGGATATTCTCCTTGACGGGAGCATTAGTCATTCTGCGTGGCCTGCTGTGGGCATCTGGACTCCATCAAGAGATGCCGGGACTTCGAGGGAAGCAACAATCGCAGCGACAACTCCGGCCAGAACAGTAGATCTCTGTTCGTGACTCGAAGATTCGGTAAGAGCTCATACATCACTCGATTTTGATGGAATGCGATCCCATGTAGAATTTGCAAGATGAATACGGCCGGACCGATCGCTCCCGGTATGACGCGTTCGCCATCACTTGCTTATGATCGTGGCTGTTGCCCCCTCCCATGGCCTATGAGAGACAGGTATTTCGCCTCCGTACCGGACCTTCACTCTCGCCGATCACGAGAGCTACACACAGCCCCGGACGCAGATCCCAAGCGGATTCCCGCTAAACCCTTAGTCCCAGACCGCTCCTCACAAGTTTTCAGGATACACGGAGGGGAGCATCAGGTTCCCAGTCCGACACTCGGGATTAAGCACCTCAGAGGGATATCAGATTTCGACTACGAATAGTATCGTCGGGGCAGCCCACTTTATTCTCGTTGTATGGGTCTGTCCATGGATATAATTTTTGCGATGTGGCTCGTCGCGAGAAAAAGTTCCACGACTCGGTCGGGTATTTGATAAGACGCGGTCGTTCCCGTGAGAGCCTATTTTATTCCGATTTCTAGACAGCCCCGATGCGGCTGAGTTATTACTTATTACCCTTGGGAACAAAGAGGAAAAAACCCATGCTGAGCAGAAACCTGACTTTCCTTTGCTGCTACCCTCCTCGCCGACTCACTCATAGATGCTGATAATGAGAGGTCCATATTGAACTCGATCATCGAACTTCCCCGAGTGGTATAATGTGAGAACGAGGCTTAGGATCGCTTCGACAGCAGGTTCTGGAGAGAGGATCCGTGCTGTCTGATCGCTCCATGATGTATGCAGGTTCGAGGGAACGTCTTGCAGAAGCATCCGCCGGGATGGCAGTAATTGCATGAATTTTTGAAAAATTCGAGACCTCGTCTCTCTAGGGTCTCTTTTCGGAGCTTGGTCAGCGGTCCATGGCGGATGGTTGACCCTGAGGGGCTTTATAGAATCTGAGGCTCATATTCCAGGAGGTGTCGTCGAATTCCTACTGATCGCAATCTCGAATTAAGTATTGGTACCGACTCTGTCCGGACCGGATGACGGATGGAGCCTCACGATGTCTCCAGGATAGGACAGCAGACAGCTGACCGCAGAAGCCAGACATCGTTTCCTTTGAGAGTCTTCAGAAGGAGAAGATCTCCCTTGAAGATGTTTCCCAGAGGACTACCCGATAGCTCAAAGGCTCATGTCTTGCAGGCAGGAGAGTATAGTCAGATAGCATGTGTCGCCGATCACGGAATTTTTGAGACAATCTGTGAAATTCCGACGTCAGACGACTCCCATTGGCAAGTTTGCCTGGCAACGCAGTTGATCAAAACGGGGGCAATATCAAGTCTAGCTGTCACACAGCATGTATTCCGATCTGGAAGAAGGCTCAGAGATCTGAATGAAACTATTCTCCGCTCGTTTCGACTTT